TGGTGTTCCCCGACACAGTCCGGGAAGGTAAACCCCGGAAATTATGATCTTGTCTCCCCCCACCAGTACCTGGAGACCGTCTCCCCAACATCGAGTATTCTGAACACTTACTCTATTAACTGGTCACCGCCTGAGGAAGCAAATGGAGTAATTTTGAGATACCTGGTGGACATTGTAAGCAATGGTCATCATTATACAAGAGAATATGTGACTGAGACTGAGGATGTGATCAGTGACTTACCAGAGTGTACATCATATGACATCACTGTAACAGCTGAAACAGAACCTGGTTCGGGACCGTCTGCTGCCAACAGTACTTTCCTCAGTGGTTCTGGTTAGTGATCATTATTATTAATGATTCTTTAATTTAAATAATTATGAAATATTTTCAAAACTTTTTCATAAATAATTTTCTTAAGATTACAAACTCAATATTTATTTATTTTACATGGACAGTTGCACCATCCTTCGTACTTGTGTCTTGGTGATGGTGATCATGCCAGGTGTGCTGGAAAGCCGTGTTCACAACAGTGTTTTACTGGTGATTTAAACTACAACATCAGCTGGAGTAGTGATGTACTTTGGTCTGATACTGAAGGTCAGTTGTCTACTTGATATTCTTTATTATTATCTTTATAATGGTTCAGGACATCACATTCATTAATTTTGAAAACAGAAAAAAATACAAACAATAATAATAATAATAATAATAATAATAATAATAATAATAATAATAATAATAAAATAATAATAATAATGATGATGAAAATTTAATAATAATAATAATAATAATAATAATAATAATAATAATAATAATAATAATAATAATAATAATAGTAATAATTTTGATAATAATAATGATAAAAAATTAATATAATAATAAAAATAATAATAATAATAATAATAATAATAAAAATTAATAATAATAATAATAATAATAATAATAATAATGATGATGATATAATAATAATAATAATAATAATAAAAATTAATAATAATAAAAATAATAATAATATAATGATAATAATAATGATAAAAATTTAATAATAATAATAATAATAATAATAATAATAATAATAATAATAATAATAATAATAATAATAATAATGAAATAATAATAATAGTAATAATAATGTTGGTAGAATTACCAAAAATATGTTAGGTAAAAGAACACAAAAGGCAACTAATGTGACATTATATTGTGGCAACGTTTCGCTCTCCAGGAGCTTTATCAAGCAGTTTCAAGTAACAGTCTGACACACAGTATATATAAGTATGAGAATGAGATGGGAAACATAATATAATCATTACTGTCAGCTACCTGGTTCATGGAAATATAAACACATAAGGAGAATAATGTGATCCTTTATTAACAACGTTTCGCCCACACAGTGGACTTTATCAAGTCACAAACAGATCTGTTTGTGACTTGGTAAAGTCAAGTCTGTTTGTGACTTGGTAAAGTCAAGTCTGTTTGTGACTTGGTAAAGTCAAGTTTGTTTGTGACTTGATAAAGTCCACTGTCTGGGCCAAAGTTTGTCAATAAAGGCTCACATTATACTGCTTATGTGTTATATTTCCATTGTATCGGGATTTTATACCATTTATTCCCATATCTGGCCAATGTGTCAGCAAAATACAATAGGGCCATAGTAGTAGTATCCCCAATAGGGGCCCATAGTATAGTGTATACAATAGGGGCCCATAGTAGTAGCTAGTCAAGGGTAGCCGTATTTAGCAGTAGTAGTACAGTGGTGGGATAGTAGTAGAGTGTGGTGGGTTTAAGGAAATAGGAAAAACGGGTTGGGGAACTTTTATTTGGGAAAAGTTTCGCCCTCCAAGTGGGTTTTTCTTGGGGCGTACAAAAGAAGGGGGGGGAACAGTGAGATGGAAGACGTGTAAAGTAATTTGGTGTGTTTTGGGGTTTTTTAGGGGGTTGGTGGTAGGTAAGGGGGGGGAAAAAGGGGGGGGGGGGGTAGTGGGGGGTTCCCAGACCAAAACTTCTCACTTGAAAAGTTCCCCCAAGTGTTTTCTGTAAAAAGATCCGTTGGTTGCGGGCCGGGAAAAAAAAAGGGGAAAGGGAACATTCAAAAAAAAATTTAAAATTTTTTGAATTAATTTTTTTTTTTTTTTCAGTACCTAGTTTACAATGGAAAAACCCCCGAGTAAGTAGAAATTGAGAATTTTTTAACCAAATCTTAAAAAAATTTTTTTTTTTTTATTTTATTTTGGGATTAAAATTTTTTTTTTTTTGGGGGTGTAAAATTTTTCTTTTTTTTTTTTTTTGTTTTTTAAATTTTTTTTTTTGAAAATTTTTTTTTGGTTTTAAATTTCCCCCCTTTTTAAATTTGTACGTATGGGGGGTACTGACTGTACAATACTGTAATTAAAGTACTGTATGTACAACACTGTAATGTACAAGTCTGTAATAAACAAGTACTGTATGTTTGGTGTTGTACGTACAAGAATTGTATGTAAAAGTACTGAAGTACAAGTACGAAATTAAAAGTTAAAATTAAAAGTACTGAAATGTACAAGTCTGTACGACAGATACAGAACTAAGCCGGAAAAAAAAATCCCCCCCAAGACCACAATCCCACCAGCCCGGTAACATTCTTCTTTGAAAAATAAAGGGGGGTCTAAAGCCACAACAAAACAACCCAAAAAACCTTTTATCCCTGGCTGTTTCAAAGGCAAAAACAATGTTCGCGGGTTTTTTGAGCCACATAAAGGATCATTGGAAAAAGAAATATGGGTCCCGTTATAACCTATACAGATGTGAAGAGTGAACAGGCAAAAGGGGGGGGGGGGGGGGCCTGTACATTGAGAGTCACTTGTTTGCACAGAACTGCTTTAAAGCCTCAAATGATGATGGAAGTTTTAGCAGTAAAGGTTTAGAACCAAAAACCCAGTCATTTTGGGGAGGTTACAAGCCTCCGGATGCAACATCCCCGCAAATTCCCGGAACAGCTGTTTAAAAAAAGCCACTGTCTGGAAAATCTTCCAGCCCCGACCCAACATCTTTCTCCCGGGGGATTTCAAATTTAAGGGACCTAAAATGGAGGAATTAGCAAAAAATATTGTTGCGTAATAACAAGGGGCAGCTCTGATGAAAATCACACTCACAAGAGCTTTAAAATCCTGCACAAAATTTAATTTAAACAGAAATAATAGAGCCTACTTGACTGGGGAAAAAACTAACCTCATCTTCATAACAATGTGATCTGATAAGAATTGTCACCATATCAAAAAAATATACTCAGTCACAACATATTTGGGGTTGAATGTATGGTGGAGCCCCCGACCGCTAATGAGACTAGTCACGAGGGGCATTCCCAAATTAACTTCAATAACAAAAACAAAAAATGGGACCCAATAAACCCAAATCCTAACCGATAGACCCCAATTATGCCTAAACAGTTTAAACTGGGTGGCACCGATGTTGCACAAAGGCTTACCCTCTAAAAAAAAGGGGGAGGATGAAAAATAGAAAGAGAAGGCGCTCCCTTTACAGGCGAGGGAAAAGAAAAGAGAGCGGGCTAAAAGAGGTCAATAATCTGAAATGCGTAGGGGACACGGGTCAGAAAAAAGCAAGCTCGAATTTTAACAAAAAGAATCCTTTGGGGTCGGGAACGCGGGAGAACTAAAACCATAAATGAAATCGAAAAAAAACCCCAAAGTATTTCTTCCCTTTTCCAAATCAAAATCGAAAAACAACGCCAGTTTTGGCCCCTACAAAACAAGATGGTCCTACAAGTGCAGAAAGGAAATGATGAGCTACTCAATTAATATAAATCAGTTTTTAGCACCCTAACCCAGACTGAGAGTCGAAAATCAAAATGAATTTTTTGAGGACCCCAAAAAATTTTGTTTAAACAACCCTATCCGATTTTACCCTGACCCCAAAATGATTTCGAACGGGCATAAAGACTGCCCATGCACCTGCCCCAGGCCCCAGACCGGGAACTCTTTTTTCATAAAGAACTGCAAGAAGCCCCTATCACGAGCCTTTTTTTTCCATCCTATGGAGAGGGAGCAGAACACGGGGGTTCCCAGTTACTTAAAAAACAGACTGCCCCATCCACAAAGGGGGAAGAAAAGCAACAGAAAGAACTAAGACCAATAGCACTAACACCCATATCAAAAAAAAATTTTTAAAAGGGGCCTAAAAGCAAGTCACCACCCATCTAGAAACCCCCATCAGTTACAAAACCCGGGGGCAACAGGGTTTTAGAACAGGTCGCTCCGTCTGCCAAAATTTGGGCCACTACGAAAAAGGCCCTAAATGCACTAAAAAGAAAAAAAGAATGCGATTATATATACAGATTTTGCAAAATCCTCGAAAAGTGGGGCCAGGCGTAATAGCACAAAATGAGTGCAAGGGAATAACAGGAAAAGGGGAGATGATCTAAAATTTTTCCTCACTAACAAACCAGAGATATCGCAACAGAGAAAAGTCCGGGGCAGCTACGGTGAAAAGTCTTTTCCACAAGGCACGTATTGCCCCCAATTTTGTTCCTCACCCTCATATCCGACTAGAAAGGATTAGCCACATCACCGGTCTTCCTTTGCGATGACCCCGAATCTGCATGACAGTGTCTTCCATTGCGACACTGAAGGGCTCCAGGCGGACACAACCAAATTTTTCAGTGGGCTGCAGAAAACAATATAAGTTAAAGATGGAAATTTCAATTACTCAATAGGGTAACGGGGAAATTTAAAAACTTCATCAGGTACAAAACAAATTCTGGCCCAAACTAGAGCGAAAACACCAAACTAAAAGACCTGGGATGATCTGTTGGGGGATCCACCTTCAAAACCAAAACTTTGTATCAACGCATCTCTTGAAAAAGACGGGAGGATAAGGGAAACCTTAAAAACTAGGGAGGCCAACCCATGATCACCTTCGGGTCAATTGTTCTATCTATGCAGGAGTATTGCGCACACTAACAGCACCTTTCAAGGCGGGGGAAATTCCGACCTGGAATGTACGAGAATTTTCACGGGGGGCGCAAAAAACGGAGAAAAAACCCCTCAATTAGGGGAGCGCGAGCTCCAAAACCCTGACCCCCGGAACGCAGGGGGGAAGATACATGATTAAAACCCCCTGGAAAATTAAAAGGGACTAGTACCAAACTTACAAAACAAAAAACCCCACTACAAAAAGCAAAAGATTTGGCAACGATGCCCATCCCCCAAATGAAAAGGGGGGTGTAATAGCACGTTAAAGACCATAAAAAGTGCAGGGGCCCGGACTGTTAAGCCTAGCCACATGGGGGGATTCCCCAACAGACCCCTGGCATCTTCAAGCTGGACTAGACAAGCCAAAAGTCG